TTTTTTCCTCGTCTGTTTGATACGAATTCACTGAAACAAAACAACCTGGCCGAGTTGGGAAAAACCAACAAGTTTTGACCAGTGATGAAGCAGCTGGAATGAAATGCCCAAGCTCAGTTATCACAGCAGAAAGGAAATCTAAATAAATAGGTGAATGTGCTGGGAGAAGAAACAACCCTGAATCTGATTACCAGTCTGATTTCTGATATTTGCCCTTCCCCCTTTAAATGCTCCTCTCTTCCTAGTGAGCTCCTCCAGGGGCTGGAGGAGCTGACCCCCAGTGAGCTCCATGTGTCTGGGAGGTCACAGGTGCTCTGATTTTGTGATGTACTGAGTCCTGGTTCCTCCAGACTTGGCTTCTGTATCCTTTTTGCTGTCAAAATCCACCATCCTTTCTTGCTCTCACTGCAACTCTATTCTCTGATTTTCTGTCCTCTTATTACAACTCCTCATTCAGGTTTCCATTGTCTCCCTCTCAGCAGTGATCTGAAGGCTTATGCCCCTGTTGTTGTGTGAATCTGGATATCCACTCCCATCAGCCAGTTTTCTCTCCTAAATTTAGCCTCCATTTTCCTGTACCGCACAAATGCCAGCAGCTCTGGGAGAGGCAACTGAACTGATGTCTCTTCCACTTCATGTGGCTTTTCCAACTTCCCCAGCTTCCCATTATAATGAAGGCCATCAATAACCAGCCCAACAAACCAGACCAGAAAGAGCCACTGTCACAGGACCATCGGGAACAAATATCCATGGACAAACGGGGATTCCAAATTGTGCCTGGTGTCTGTTCATTACTGTATCTCATTTCCTAAATTCTAGCTGGATTTTCAAGAGGCTGAAGCCCTCTGGTGACTGGGTCAGAAGGATCAGACTAGCAGCCATCAGGGTAGGGCACAGAGATTTCTCAATATTTTTTGATCAGTTTTCTTAATCTCCAAGTTTGCTGGGAAATCTTTTAATCATATAGGATGGGATTATATCATGGGAGTGTTGGGGTAATTTAGGTTTGGCACTGGCTTTATTAAAATAATGATGTCTATTTGTGCAAGACTAAAGTTCTACATTTACTGATGAAACACCTTCCATCTATCCTTCCTTACGTCCGTCCTTTCTTCCCTTCTCCCATCCGTTCATTGGTCTATCCACCCATCCTTTCTTCAGCGCAGACACAAAGGATGACTGCCACTGACCCGGGTCAGATATGCGATGAGTACATGACCCGTGAGTCTTCCCAGCCCACTTAAGCTCCTCTCTCCTCCCTGAGCCCCATCCCTGCCCTTCTCACGAGCAGCCCCGGGACGCGGTGCCAGATGCGCTGTGCAATCCCAGGCTTGCCTCAGCGAGCACAAGGACCATTTGTCCGAGCGCCCCCCGCCTGTGTGATGTAAGCGGGACACTCAGCAAGGCTTCCTGAGCTCCGCGGCTGACGCACTCCCAGGAGAGCCGCTGCAGGATTGCCCAAACCGGCAGGCACGTCAGGGCAACAGCCTTGGAGGCAGCAGGCTCGGCTCTGGAGATGAGCACAGCTCTGCCCCGTGGGCTGCAGCTGCACAGAGCCCTGCAGGGGGGGCTTTGGAACGCTCGAGCAGCCAGAGACACCGTGCCAATGGCAGTTCCACCTCTGGTGCCTCGCCACGGCACAGGCACTGCAAGCGTTTGTCCCTCAAGAAGTGATGAGGTGGTGGGTGGCTTCATGTTGCTGTGAGAACTCACACTCTGATCTCTGCAGTTCTGTGGTTGGTGGCTGCTTTTGGAAAGGTCTTTCTTCTAATGCTCTCTTAAATCAAGTCAGCCATGTAGTGACCAAGGGAAGCAACACCAGTGACATCTGCATGAAGCCAGAGCATTTTGGAGGATTTACAGTGAGCCTTCACACCAGCACAATCCTTCCACAGGACACCAGGAAGGAGTTGCTGCTGCTGCTTTCTAGGTCAGACAGCCCCAGGCCTGAAAACAAGCATCAGCTGGCATTTGCCTGAATCCCAAGAGGCTGGAATGAGTTTCAGATAAAACATACAGTCCTGTGGGCAGGAATCCCAGGGCAGGGTTACCAAGAGGGCAAATCTGGGATGAGACAGGTTTGAAAAGGATGGGATATGTCAAATGAAGCCCCCCTGCAGCTACGGGAGCTGTGGTTGCTCAGGCCTCCAGAGAGCTGCCAGCACAAATGTCCTGTGCAGAAACCCTGCACAGTGACTTGCCGGTGACCCTGAGGACAGGCTGACGGCCACCTGTCACCTACCTGAGTGATGATAGGTCATCAGCTGGGTTTCTTCAGCACCAGCCTCTAGTCCCTTTCCACCCTCCTACAGTCCCTGTGCTGTGAATTAGTTTGTCACAGGCAGGGAAAAACTGGCCTGGCCTGTAATACTCATGCAGCAGGCAAAGCCATTGTGTCAGGAAGGCTTTGGCAGGGCCACCCGGGAGACACACCACGGGTGCTCTCACCGCAGGAAAGAGGCAGCCAAAGGTGACTCTGACAGTGGGTGGTGCAGGTGAGGAAGAGCTGCACCAGAGGGACAGAGGTGGTGCCAGCAGAAACCATGGAAAGAATGAGGGAGGTTCATTCTCAGAGGCAAATTATTTGGGGTGTGTCCCCAGGACCCGGCTGTGTGGTTGCTGGACCGGCAATCTCCGTCCAGCCAGCATAAGCTGTTGAGGTGGCAGGCTGGTATGTGGCCCTAAGTTCTGCAGTTTCTCAATCATGTGCAGGAGTGAGAAAAACACAGGTGCTGGAAGGGCTGCTATGGGCTGGGAGTCAGATGAGCAACAGGATAGGTGGAGAAAGCCCAAGCCAGATCACGACAGTCAGCTGAAAGTCATGACAGATAAAAAACTCCAAACAAATCCTGCACAGGCCTGAAATTGGACTGCTCCTGTTAGATGTGTGTGACCAAAGAATAGGGCACGATAAATGACAGGCTGCTGCTGTTACTGCACTTGTAACCTTCTGCAAGAGCAGTAAAGGGTGTGTGGGTTTGAGAAAGATTGATTTGCAGCTCCAGGGGCTGCTCAGGTCCCCTTCTGGGATTCTCCTGCCAAGCGGAGCAGAGGAGCAAAAAGGTCAGTGTTTGGGGGCCAGGCCTCTGGGCTGAGCCTCTCCAGGAGTCCAGGAAAAGTTCTGGAGGATAAACAGGGACAGGCCAGAGTAGTTCACAGGCAGGCAGGGAAGCCTCAGGGGGAAAGGATGTGTCACCACATATCCTAACTGGGTCACAGCAAGAATGGAAGGAGGCTCCAAGAATTGATTTTTGCCGCATCTTCCCACTGGGAAAGGCTGTGTAACAACGAGGCTGTGGCTGGGATTGCCATTAGCTGTCACCAGTTAGGCAGTAGAACAGGTTCCTGTGTCACAACCGGATTACAGGAGAAGGAGAGAGGAAGTGAAAAGCTGAAGGGCAGGTAATGAGGGCCCTGTGAGTTAACCCAGTTAACTGGGAATGACCAACAATCCTCTTCTAGTTCAATGCTGAGGGTCTAGAAGGAGCAGGGAAAACTTTGCACAAACCAAACTCATCTTAACCACTGATTGACCTGGACTGGGCTGGGCCAAGACAGCCCTGTAGCACCACCAATGAGCACTTAGGTCACCTCAGGAGGTGGCAGAAGGTAGCCACAGGCTACCTGCACAGACCCAGCAGGGTGAGCATAATCCCTACAGGATAACCCACTGTTGCATAAGCCAAGGGATCACCCATCTCACACCCACCAAAGCAGCCTGCCTGGATGTCTGGCAGTGACCAGGAACGATGTAAAGGTTGGGCTTTTTCTCACATCTTCTGAAAGTGTGAGAAGGGATGGGATTAGCAGGGATGATTCAGGTGCTGCAAGAATCCTTCCTGTTCACAGAGAGCCAACACCTGGAGTTCAGCTAAACCTCAGCAAGCTACTTGATCACTATTTTAGGCCAACAAAATATTTATGGCCAAACTCAAAAATTTTCCTTGCCCTGCTCCAAGCTGTGCAATGGATGCTGCGGCAGAAACTCTGTGGGGAGGATTTATGCTGGTTCCAAAGCAGGAGTCCTGCTGTAGCTACATTCACACCCTGAGCTGCCACGTGTTCACGTGCTCAGCTACAGAGGCTTATCAGCTTGTGCTACTGTGCTACTCATCAGGCTTGTGCCTCCCTGCTGAAATCCAAAATGCAGACAGCACACCCTTCCTGAGGGTATGGATGAGACAAGATCCCTGATGCTGTCATGCAGTCCATGTTGGATATGCTGCATTAGGAGCTGTCCTCTGAGACTTCCTACAGCTGTGCCAGTTAAAACTATCCATTGGAACCAAGATGCATTGATACAATCATTAATAGCACTGTGGTTTCTCTCTCCAAGAATAACTGCTGAGGCCTCTAAGACACTGCTCAGTCAAGCCACGCTGGGTTTCACTCTGACATCACAGGGTCCAAGCATTAATCCAGCATTGCCAAACCCACCAAATAACCCATCTCCCCAGGAGCTACATCACTGTGTCTGTTAAACCTCTCCAGGGATGGGGCCTCCACCACTGTCCTGTGCAGTCTCTGCCAGGACTGGACAGCTCTTAGAGAGAAGAAATTTACCCCAATATCCAATCAGTACCTCCCCAGGCAGAGCTTGGAGAGGTACTGATTGGATATTGGGGTAAATCAGTACCTCCCCAGGCCATTTTCTTTTGTCCTGTCCCTGTGCCCTGGAAACAGATCCCCTGATCCACCCCTGCTGTCAGGGAGTTGTTGAGAGACAGAAGGTTCCCTCCAGAGCCTCCTTTTCTCCAGGCCTAGCTCCCCCAGCTCCTTCAGCTGCTCTTCCCCAGAAGTGTGCTCCAGGCCCTTCCCCACCTCTCTTCCCTGGATATGCTCCAGGCTCTCAATATCCTTCCTTTCATGAGGATTTGTTGATGAAGATACGAACAGGACTGGCCCCAGGACTGAGCCCTGGGGAACGTGCTCAGTGAGGGGCAGCCAGCTGGAGATAACTCCATCCACCACCACTCGCTGGAATCAGCAGACATTTTGGCTTTGTCTAGAAGTTTTATTTCAAGGAATACAATTGCTTTGAGTATATTCACAAGAATAAATATAAAATTCTTCTCTCCAGAGCAAGAAGATGAGTTTTTATAAAAATATATCTCTATCCCAAAGAACCACCTAGGTGGGATTCCCTTTAGGAAATATTATTTAATAAAAAAATAAAATACTGAACATAAAATGCTTGACCTATGCTTATTGAATCACCAAACAATTGAAATTTTTTAAAGGTTATAAATATTGTAAATATTATTAACAAAAATAACATTTAAATAGACGTGTAGGCGCTGAGTCCATCCAGATGAACTGAACACTGCAGGAAGCCACAGCTTCTCCTATAGGGCACCAACTTCCTTGTATTCACTGGCGTTTGTCTGTCTCCTCTTGCTGCGGTACCTGGAGTAGAAGAGAGAAATGTCAGTTCTGGAAAGCCAGTTGCTTTTGGGGAGTGATGGGGAGTGGGAGCAAAGGAAAGAAGGAAATAGCTGTACCAGCTCCTCACATTTGTTTAAAATCTCTAGCAGCTGGGCTCTCTCTGTGCTCATTTCCAGGTCTGATTTCACTTGAATGCAGTCTCCTTTCTTGACCCTTCACTGACAATTCCACATCTGCATTAAAGTCTTCCTGCTGGTACTAGGCTTGTCTTTGAGAAATCCTGCTGGTTACCATCTAGCTGCCTACCAGATCTGGGAAGCTGAGCTCTCCTTCTGGACTTGTTCCATCTCCTCAGCTCTCTGACAAATGCTTACCATTAGTTTTTAGGCTGGAGAAGGATTCCTGCTGCTTTGGATCTGTTCATGGAGAAGAGTACTGTCCCCCATGGTAAAGCTGATAAGGCAGTGTTCATAATGTCACACTCACAATAACCTACCAGATCAACAAATCAGCTGACAGAAATCCAGCTGGTCTTCTGCCCCTGATGTCTGAGGGAATGGCATTACCAATGAAAGAACTAGAATTTCCCTACTCCCTGTCTGCTCTCTGCTTGAGCTCAACACACCCTCTAAGCCAGACGGGAACCAGCCTACAGAACCCCAGAGTGAACAGGCACTGGGAGTGCTGCTGCCTGGCCTGCAGTCGGGCCTGTGCCACGCTGCCAGCACGCTGCCTGCCCTGAGCGCCTCAGGCGCAGCTGAGCGGGGCTGTGTGCGGAACTGCCCGGACAGTGAGCTGCTCCAGGCTACCCGGGGGCTCTGAGGATGCCTGCCACCCCCAGCTGGCCCAGCCTCCTGAGCCACCAGGAGCACGAGTCTCACCTTCTGCAGACGTAGTAGGCGGCGAGGGAGAGGGCAGCGAGGAAGAGCAGGACCACGATGACGGTCAGCGCCACGTACTCCTTGCTGAGGGGCTGCCGCACCAGCTCCGAGTGCACGCAGCGCACCCCCGAGAAACCCACGTCACACCTGAGGGGACAGAGGCACAGTCACACATGTGGCACCGGAGTTACACCTCAGCAGCTCACAGAACATCCCAGGTTGCTGGCCTGCTGTTTCCTCAGGGACCAAACACTTAAACTGATGTAACTCAAGGCCACGCAGCCCTAGAGACGACTGCAAATTGTTCAGGTAAACAAGCAATACCGCTAAAAATGCCTAAAGCATCTTTATTTCATAGGTTGGATCAAAGGAGAGACCTTGGTGCTGTGCCTGGGCTCTGGATCTCATACTAGTATAAATACAGATGGACAGGGAAGCATATCAGAAACAATGTCCCAAGTCTAAGCTGGGTTGGTCACTAATTTCAGGTGTCTGAGACTCTCACAGAGATCACTGGAGGCAGCACATGTGCTTTAAATGCAGCTGAGCATTACAGATGTGGTGCTCCTCTTCACTTTCTTGTGAGCATTTAATACTTGGCTGGATTGCTGTTTCAGCTAAGTGTCAATGGCAGCCAGAGCAAAGGCCACCTCAAAGCCCACCCCAGGGAGACCTGCAGGATGAGTGAGGCCTGTCCATACCTGCAGTAGTGCTCATCCAAGTCCACGATGTACACACACTGCCCATGGAAGCAGTAGTCCTTCATTTCAGGCTTGCATCGTGTTATCCCAACTTGGGCCACACGTGGGCTGTTCTCTGTCTGGACTGCAAAGATATTTCGTTAGCGTCTCAGGATGTGGGCAATGCTGCTCAGAGAAAAATGACTCCCAAGGGCACCTCAGTGAGGCTGCCAGCCCAAGGAAGATGGGAACCAAAGACCTGGTATTTACACAGAGCTGTGCAGTACTTACTGAGTGCTGTTGTGCAGTTCTCCATTTCACCAGGCCCACATAATGGGATCACTGTTGTGCCCAGGACTGCTTGCAATAGGTAACCTAAAAGACAACAAAAACAGCAGTCAAAACTAGATGTATTTTGAGTTAAGTGTTTAAGCTGCTATAGTAATTAATGCAAGAAGAACAGAAGCTTCTCATCATGGTGGGAAAGACCTGTAGTTGAAAGCTGAAAAACTACAGGTCTGAGTGATGTGCTGCCTACATTATATATGGCAGCCGAAAGAAACATCTCTGAAATGCAAACTTATAATGCAGAACAAAAAGATTCAACAGAAACCTGGTGTCTGTGACCACCTCTCGCCCACACTGTGAGTGAAACTGGGCAGGAACAGGCTTGGAGAGATTATGGGGAGAGGCAGGAATTAGGCCATTTGATGATTATGTTAGGTTTCTGACTGGTCTGGCATGGCACCTGTGCAAGGGAAATAAGCCAGGCTTCCACAATTAGGCATGACAGTCCAGCACTCATCACAGGAGGAGTCCTTTTGCTGATCAAAATCAAGATATCCTTGACTCACAACAGCCCACAGGAAGAGAATTTCCTAGGAATCTGCAAGTCAGTGCAGCTGGTGACTGAGCACACCAGGTCAGTGCTGAGCCAGGCTCAGCACCCCACCACTGGCTTCAGAGACCACACACTGCTCCAGGTAGGCTTAACACAAAAGCTGCTCTTTACCAGCAAAGAACTTGCTCAGCCCTCTCCTTGCTGAAGACAGCTGAAGGGCTGGACAGTTCCTGCACTGACACTCCTTTGGAAGTTCCTTGCTGAAAGGCCCGCTTGCAAAGCCACTAACACGAGATACCAAACACTCCTCATCTGCCCATGGGCTTGGAGAGGTTACTGACCACTTTATGGACCCTGGGCCACTGTTACCTAGCAGAATACCAGAGGAAACAGGCACAGCTTTCAGCTGTTCAAGTAGTTAAATGAACATTTGCAAGCAGGATTGGAAAGCCAGCACAGGTGCCTGTAGTTTTACAGTGAGTCCATGAGGAATAGTGAATGTCTGACCCGGCTGGCCATGAAATCCACCTGGCTAAAACTCCTGCTGTGGTCACAAATTAACCTGCTCATGAACTGCTTAGTCATCAGCCCCATTCCACGGAAGTCTGTAATTTGTGTCTTTGGGCTGTTTGCCTCTATTAACTTGTCAGGTCATGCATGTCTAATGGAGGGAGTGTGCCTCCATAATTTCCCGATCATTCTAATTCAACTCCAGTTATTAGAAAGTGTCATTACATCTCAGGGTTAAATCTAGCAGTGGTAATTTATGGGTTTCCGGCACCTCATCTACTTCTGGGTGATAGGTAGGCTTCCTTTATCCTTCATTACAGCTACACACCAAAGCAACAGGAATATCTAAGAGGGACGGGGCTTCTTCCTCTGTTTGCATTTTTAAAAACATTGTTCCTCCTTCTTACCTCCCTCTGCAAAGCTAATAAACCAGATTTCCACCAAGCTGTAGAAGAAAGAACAAAGCCCAGGTCCCCCAGAGCCAGAGCAATAGTAACAGGTCCATGATGCCAGCACCTGCACCAGCTGGAGACTCCTGTGCCTCCTACTGGCATGACTCAGCAGGACCTGCCTTTCCTTCCAATGGGGCAGGACATGCAAGTTTACTTTCAGGGTGGGATTTTCTTTTTTTAAGCAGCAGTGTGCTCACTGTAGATTGCCTCAGCAGCAGCAGTTTAACATCTCTGTGAGGCCCATCTGAGTTGCTAAAACATAAGTTCAAGTGTGTGAAAGGAGAGCCACCAGCTGTCAGACAGGCAGCCCAGGGACGTGGGGTCCCAAAAGATGCTGGAAAAAGATTTAGCAAGCCAGTTCTTCTTCCCAGGGCCTAGGGGGACATTTGAGGAGTGCTCCATGGACTAAGCTGCTCCCTTGTAAGGGAGGAGCTACGGTACAAGACAGCAGTGTCCGACTAAGGACACATCATGTCACAGAAAGAATTTAAGACAGAAATGAAAAAAAGTCAAGGGTACACCTGCCAGAGGTATCTGAGATACCCACTTGTTAAGCCGATGGATTAAGCCAGCTGAGGATCTCATGCAGCCTACACATTTTTGTCACAGTTTGCTCGCTTCCTTGACCTGGGCATAACCCCAGCAGCTGCTTTTTAAGCTGGAGTTCTCAGCTGGAGACTTAGCAGAACCTGGCTTTCACATTTGAGAAAACTCCAACCAAAAGGTCCATGGAAGAGACAGGTTACCTCTCCTCTTGGCTCCAGAAAGGAACATGGCTTTCCAGTTAAAGGCTACAACTCAGACATCTATGGGGCACAAATTAAAAATAACCTCCTCCTCCAACACTGCCCAAGGGCTTTCCCAGTCCCAGCCATGTGCAGGTGCCTCCTCCACCTGATTGCAGACTCCAGGGCCGGAAAGGCTGGACTGCAGGTGTGGATATTTGCTGACACCCAGCAGTATTTGCTGCTTTTGGGCAAAGTTCTTCCTGTTCTGCACTGCTCTGTTTTGCCCTTTCCCCCGTGCACATATTTCCCCTCTGACATCACCGGGAGGATAAGGGATTCGCACACAGCACTGGCAAAGGAGAGCCTTTCCCAGGATATTTATCAGATGATGCATACTAAACACAGCACCTGGGAGAGGTTATATTTTTATTCCTTCACTGTTCATTAAGCAAACACAGGGTACAAGATAAGAGTAATTAGGTGGTGGATTTTCATCCGTGTCTTTCAGTAATGTGAGTGTTACAAATTGTATTCCTACATCATAATCCCATCCAGCTTCACAGGTATTCCTGCAAGGTTCACACTGACAGCACTCATTGGAACAGGAATAACGTTGCTGCTGCTTACTTGTCCTTCCATGAGGGAAGAAAGGAAAATAAGGGCCAGTGACCAAATGCCTTCACTTCCTGCAACTTCCATCAGAGATTACCTACAAGGCTTAATCATCAGTTTGCCCACTGTGAGCCAGCTGTAGTTTCCAGTGGCAGGATGACTGCCAAGGATGAAGGATGCACAGGCAAGATACACTCAACTGAGGACTGCACTGTGGAGGATTTACACTTGGGGAACTGTCAAGTTTCTGAGAGCTCAATCATTATTTGAGTTGCCTTCATCTGCCACTGAGATTGCCAGTCCTGTACTAATTCACCTGAATGGTGCTACCTCCCATTTGGCATCTCTATGGTCTCTCTGCCACAGCAGCAGCACCTATACCCTCCCCATGGGCTGCACTTCCAAAGTAGAGGTGCCCAGGTGACACACACCTGAAGGATCTCAGCCCTTTTTAACTGCAAAGACAGACCAAGGTGCATCCCTACCACTTGATTTTGGATATCCAGGGGATGTCTTAACTGTCTCCTGTCTTCTTTGGGCAAACCAAGCGGGAACATGGAAGCTACCCAGTCTGTCCCACTGGCTTTGTGAGCATCCCTACTACCACTGTTTAATTCCAGAGCCACAGACTCACAGCTTGGATGTCCAGGATCAGGTCACAGCAGCTCTAAGGCAGGCCTGGAAACACCAGTCTATCATGGGAAGACTGGTGCTCCAAAACTGCTACAGGCCCACAGGATCATCTTCACCATCATGCCAGGACTTACCCTTGGGCAGAGATAATGCAATTATGTGCACCCCATCATCCCAGTAGTGCTCCCATCCCTCTGGAGACCTACACACCAGTGATCTTACTCAGGCGCTGCCCCTGTGCCTCAGCCACACTGCTTCCCACCTCCTGCGTGGGGCTGAGGTCCCTATGCCACAAAAGCAGCAATCCCTTATGACTTCCAGCCAGACACATCGGCCACTAACACTTGCCCCATCCTCAGATGCAGCAGCCTTTATGCTGAGCCAGTTTGCTGAGAGCCAGGAGAATGTGACACAGGAAAACATAGGGACAGCAGGTCCTGGAACTGTCCAGTGAGTCTGAAGTCCAACTCCTGCCTTCCCCTCTGAATGGGCATTACAGGGAGCACAAGGGGATCAGTGCCGAGGCTCCTGCAACAACTCCCACAAAAGGCAGGTCCCCAGCTTGTCCCCACCATCACCACATCCACATGTGGCTGGCATAGCACCGTGTCCCCTCAGGAGTGAGAGACATCTCTATCTCACCACTCCCTTGCTGCTGTCTCCAAGCCCACCATAGCCAGGAAATGAACCTGGCAAGGAGACTGTCACTTCAGTACGGCTTCAGCCATTCAGCAGGGAACCTCCTCCAGTCTGGCATAACACCAGTGCCAGTCTTCCCAGAAGCACCAAGTTCTGCTTACAGTCCTGCTCTGGGAGGGGAAGGCAGTAAAGTGCTCATAGCAGTTGTTATGATGGCACCTAGCTATGACTAACCCATCCCTTACTATTAGATGTTGTGCCTGCCCCGGAAACAAAGAAATTCATATACAGATCCATGAAGACATACCAGTTCCTACCAGTGTAATTTTTGTGCAAAGCATGGCTGACTCACAGACTACAAGACGTTTAGCCTGCTGTCCTGACAAGTGAGATGCTGTGCAGCAGCTGCTCCATCAATTGTTATGGAAAGACCCAGCTAAGAGGAAAGACACAAACTCATACTGCAGTGGGCTCAGAAGGTGAGGAAAACATCTGTCCCAAAAGAGAAGTGTTGGGAACTGAGTTTGTCCATCAACTATGACCTCGAGCCCAACATCTTGAGTGCGAGAACATGCTTTGTTATTAAAGCAAGGTGTGAGTGTGCCAGGTCTCAGGACCTGCTGCCCACAGAGCTCAAGTTGCCCAGCAGGGTCAGCTCTCAGCAGTCATCACCTGTCACTGCCAGCACCCCATGGAGGTGTGTGACAAGGATCAGCTCTTGCATCACAGCACACCCAGCCCCAGGACTCTTGATGCTCTAAGGATACACGTGTTCACTTGAGACTTTCAGGTAGCTTATGTCATACAATGGAGTAACACACTCCCAGCGAGGAGGTGGAGAAGTGTCAAGCAGAAGGAGGCCACAACCTGTTTTGTTATGATCAGGAAGTCTCTGCTGCTGTGAGGATTCACCCACTGAACTCACCCAGAGCATGGCCCGGGAAAAGGCAGCAGGACCAGGCTACAAACAGGACAGGTCAAGGTGAAAGGGAAAAGACTGCACTGAGAGCAGAGCTGGTGAGAAGGGAAAGAATGTCCACCTTCACTCAGTCACAGGACACACCTGGGCATCGCATAAGCAACAAAACATCCTGTAAGAATACACCACAGTGTGCTGCGTGCTCCACTCCGCAGCTCATACAATCCGCCCGGGTACACCTGTCAGCGCCCGGGACTTCATCTCGGAGAGAAACCCATCAGCCTCACCTGAAGGCAACCTGAACGTTATGCTCTGACGCAGATATCCCAGCAGCCAAAGAATGCCCCAGCCCCAGGACGCAGCACCCGATGCCCTCCCAGCCCTTGCCCGCGGGAACGGGGACCTCGCCGCTTACCGAGGAAGAGCAGCAGGCTGCGGGCCCACAGGCAGCCGGCGTCCATCGCCCTCGGTGCCCGGGGAGCAGAGGAGGCGGCAGGGAAGGAGGCGGCAGGAAAGGAGGCGGCGGCGGCGGCAGGAGCGGCGCAGCGCTGTGCAATCGCCCGGCCGGCCGGCAGCACTTTTATGTGCCTACGGAGAGGCGGAGCCCGCTGCAGTGACACCGCTGACACCGCCCGGCCGGGGCAGCCGCTCGGCTCGGCCTCCACGCTTCCTGCCCCCCGCCCTCGGCCGCCCCCTGCTCTGCCCGCGGGCCATGCCCCGACCGTGGGCAGCGACAGCACCCCCGGCCCGGCTTGTCCCAGCCGTTTGCCCGGAGCAGGGGGCAGCTCTGCCCACTCCGGCCGTCGGCTGGTGCCCGGGTACATTAGGTGTCCCTGGTTCCAGCAAGTAGCACTGCAAATAGTACCTGGGGCCGTAAAATTACTCGAGCCCTCTGAGCAGTCTAGCCCATGCGCTGACTTCCCGGGGCTGTGGATGCCTACGGCACAACCTCGGGACCGCTGCCTCTGCTTGCTTTCAAAGCATCCATCCTGGATTCTTTGAAATGGAAAGAGGCCCTGCAGACGCAGAGCCAGCTGCCCAAGCACACAAGGGACCACTGGGCCATTGCATTGCTATGAACAGCACCTGTGCCTAAACCAAGGGTTGGGAAACACCCCAGGGTGGGCAGCTGGAAACTTGCTGGGCAAATCTCCCACTTCCTGGCATTTCTGAAGTGACCCTCAGCAGCTGCCAGGGAACTCCGGAGCTAGGGGCAGAAATGGCTTATTAGGTTACAGCACAGGTACCAGGAATGCCAGCACCTCATCTGGCACCTGGGCTGGCCACAATGTTCTTGAGCTCAGGGGATGTGTTTGCCATGTTTCCCCTCCAGCCCCTGGCTCACCACAGCCCAGCAGCACCACAGTCCAGGCAGTTCCTGGAAGCAACATCTCTATCAGTTATAAGATCCTTGAAAGAGCAGCCAACAGCTACTTTTTAAAAAATTCCTTTCAAGCATGCTGTTGAAACCCACGCACTCTGTTGCTATATTAGGCAAGACCTCATTCAGCAGTTACATCCCACCATCAGGTGAGCGAGTGATCCCATCCACCAAATCCCTACTGCACGCATTTGCCTAAAATGTGAAGTGTGTTTCATCTCAACAAGCTGCTGAGAGCAATGATGGTTTACTCCTTTTCCTTTTAAAGGAGAAATCATCTTTCCCTGCCTTACCGCTCTCCATAAAGGCACATCGATACCCAGTTTATTGTGGCACTGATAAGCCTATCTCACATTGAAAGGAATCCGAGAATTGACACTGAGCTGCACTGCACCAGCTGGTAACTAGTTTCTCTGTTTTATAAGCAGTTATTGATACTAATATTGAAGAGAGGTAGCTGTAGAAGATATACTGCAGAATGCAGATATACTGGACACTGCAGAATTCCATATTCCACAACTCTGTGTTCAGAATACAGTTCTACGGAGTGAAGACATTCATTCAGGGGGCTGCAATAGATCTGGTACTAACTAATAATACTCCTTATTTTCAGATCATTTTCTTAGGTTTACAGTGGCATGGAGATACTGAAGTGAAAAAAGGCAGTGTGTTGCTACAGAATTGTGTGTCAGCACCACTTATTAATTACCTAAGTGGTATGAGAGTTGGCAAGATAAAGTAATAAAGCTCGGTGTGAAAGTAGCATTTAGAAGGATGTCCTCCACAGCAAGTGGTTCATGATACAGTTGGAATCTTTTTCTAAGTCCCCTTTTTTCCCCTCTAATGAGTCATGCCATGTAGATGGTGTCTTTTTTGATGCCGCATGACTGTTTTTGTTGCTTCCTTAATTTGTGCTGATCCCCCTTATTAAGGATTTTATTGTCTGCTCTTTCAGGGATCATAATGAGTAAAGGAAGGAATTGCAATTATTAGCAACCTGTTTCTGTGTGTGGGCTTACAGATGCCTTAAAAAGCAGCATCACTGAAGAACTTCCACTTTATAATTAATTTTACCCTTAAATTCCTGCATGATTTATCCTCTGAAGGGCAACATTTAATTATAGTCCTGTACCGGTACCCAGATACCAAGTAACGCTGACACAATTGGAGCAATTCATTGGAATTTCCTCTTTCAGATCTGAATATGTGGAAAACAAGTATCACGGACACATCTTTGTTTCACCTTTCTGTAATGTGCTTTGTTTCACAGTGCCTGATTTCGCATCCGGCATCCCCGCGTGCGGCTTTCACCATCCCCTCCTCCACGTGGAGGATGCCTCCTGGGGTAAGGCTGGCACGCACCTTAAGAGCCAGTTTTCCAAGAGGCCTTGCAGCATCAATGGGGTCATTGTAAGGCAGGCTCGTTGCATCCCACAGGTGCCGGTAGGAGCGACAAGTCTGTGCAATGCTGGGAGGCAGCGCTGGTTGGGCAACAGAGCATCACGGGTGCATCGCTGCTGCTGCTGGCCTCGATTCCTGCCAGGGTGAACCGGCACGCCCAGGGCAAGGCACCCCGGGATCTGTGCCCTTTGGCATCCCACCAGTGTGGGGTGCATTCACCACCCCTGAATGCTTCGACATTTCGGGATTTTTTGCTTTACAAAGTGTAACAAGGATATGAGGAAGTACCTCAAGAATTTGTGGAAAGAGTTGCTTGCTTTTATTACCTTGCACTGCCTTAATAACCACCTTTAAAAGAAATCTCTCTTTACAAAGTACAGAGGCTCAGTTGAAGTGCTTGCTTCAGCTTGTGTCAGTCCTTGCTAGGTCTCAAGCATTCACCTTTCCCTCTGGGACAGAGCAGCAGATTCACAGCAGTGATTATTTCCCGGGTACTGACTGAGCCTTGGCTGTCAGTGTATCCATCAGTGATGAGGCACTGCACTTTCTATGAACAACATGCCCTTTTTGATTTAAAGAGGAAAAAACACAGATGAAATGTATATTTTTCTGTGGTGACTTGCTGTAGAATACATGTGTTCACAGCAATGAACAGCCACTTTATCTGTGCGTTTTTACATACTTAAAACCATACATGGTGAGTGTCTGTACCACTTACTTTAGCTGCCTTCTGTAGGGTTTGTACCTGGTTTTATGCATTGCTGCTGTGGGCATGGATCTGCCTTGGTTTCATCTCCTGAAAACAAGATAAATTTGCAGAATCAACATATTTTCTTGCTAGAAAGTACTTTTGCAATGGAAAGAATATCATTCCTAGCCTTGCACTGATGCACTCACCACTGTTCCACAAAGTAACAAAGAGCAGCAATTTTGTAAATTCTTGGGAAAATCATCTAGAATTTTTCAAACAGCATGAGTGTCAGTACATCCGTTAGCAGACTTACATAGAGCAAGCTTTCATTGCACAAAATGAGAGGTGCTCAAGAAATACTCTCAGTAGGTCAGACATCAACTGGAATGCACTTCAATCTTGACAGCACTTTCATTTGAACTACACAAGGTTAATATAAAGTTCCCAAAGGGATATAAAAGGCAAGAAGATGTGCAATTGGAATCACACTTCAGTGGTGGGCTTTGCAGTGCTGGGGGGAATGGTTGGACTCAATGATCTTAGAGAGCCTTTCCAACCCAAAAGATTCCATGATTTTGTGAAAATCATAAATGGTAAAAATCTCGAGACTCATTGGAACATGCCCTTAGGACAAATGCCCTAAGAAGGGAAAGTATTTTTAACTGGAATACGTAGACGCAACTGGCTGGAGGAAATGGAGTAGAGAAAAACCTTGAGCCAAATTACTCCGTTTAAAGGTCAGATTCAAATTTGCCGTGAATGCAAGGGATGAATTAAACAACCACTCTCTCCTATAAACTATGAGAGTTCAAATTCTGCACCCAGGGCTGAAAGTGGCCAATGCCTCTTCCTGTAAACACAGCTCGAGGTCAAAGTTACTGGACAGCAAAGATGTTGTGCTATTAAAAATAAAGAACAATTCCCCAAATTCACTGACTTCTTTACCAACTTCTTGGGTCAGCATTAACCAGCAATTTAAAAAAGAAAGGAAAAAAAACACCCAAGCAGCTAATTCTCATCCATCTCAGAAGATGGCATTGAAAAGGGAGACAGGTCTCCCAGTTCATGCTGCATTCCTTCCTAAAGGGCAGTTTTTAAAACTTCATTCTCCTGGCTTGTATGACTTTGCCATTACTCTCCCCTGGGCAAATCCTAAATGCCTCAAGACATCTCACGGACAGCAAGAGCTTCTTAACGCTCAGCTGGTGATTTCCCTTTCCTAATTACAGCCCAGTGCTCCATGCTGAGTGATTTCTTAGCCTCTGAGGGGTTGAAGCCTTTCTAATTTGTGGAGTCTTTCCATGGTTTCTGCCTTTACTTGGTGATAAACAAACTCATGCCCTTGCTGAGAGTGGTATCAAGCCAAGTCCCCCCCAATATCACTGTCCCTATATATATTATTTGTTTCTCCTTGTTTTGGCTGAACTGTTTACAAAAATTACATAGAACAGAATAATAGAAGAACAAAGCCTGAAAAAAAGGGGATTTCCCCACAGCATGTACTAGGTTGCAAGCAAGCTGGGAGAACACCAGCCCCTTACCCATGAGTCCTGTGTGCTGTTCTGTCCATCAGCAGCTCTTTTGAGTTTATTAAGTCATCTCTTCCACAGAATTTCTTGTTCTCCAGGACAAGGATTAACCACTGAGAGGAAGAACACATGCAGAGGTGAAGACTGCCTTCTCTGACAAGTCACCATGTGCACACAGGGGAGCATCATTCATGCCTCTGATCAGTGGCCAGTGGAACTGAAATTCCTACATGGCAGGATGCCCCTATGGCCCACCCACCCGATGGCTCTGCCCAGAGACGGACATCCCCCTCAGGACAGTGAAATGATGGCAAGCCCACTGCAACAGGGAACTCACCAGCTGCTCTCAGGTTTTCTGCACAGCAGTCTCTCCTAGCTGTGGGCTCTCCATCTCGACCTTCCATGCCTCTCCTGCACCTCCCATCAGGACAGCTGGTGCCAGCCTGGGGAAGACAAGAAGAAGACACTGTCAATGAGAAGCACACACCTGCTGAAGCACAGCACCAGCCTCTAAGGCCTGTGCTAAACCCTGAGCAATATGTGCTGCACACACACCATAAGTAGAGCCCCTGACTCTTCACTGCTCCATCTGGGAAGCCTGGCTGTCACAGGCCCTCAGCTGCATTGGTTTCAATCCCTTTGGCAAGTTTATTTTGGCCCTTGATAAATATTTTGCTCTTATACCTCAAGCATATATGAGCAGAGGAAGGGCTGACTAGCAGGCTGTTCCCTGCCTGTGCTGGGCCTGCTGAATCCAAAGCGGCACCGAGCTGTGACTCACCCCAGGCCCTGCTCCACCACTGGCACTTCAGCTGTCCACAGACTCCACGTTTTGGCTGCAGCACAGCAGTGACTGTCACCTGCACGCCAGCCATGCACACGGGAGCTGGGGCACACTGGCAGGAGCAATGTGTCATTAAGGATGATGGAGTAAACAGCAATCCACCTGAAACCAGCTCAGCCAGCACATGTTCCAGAAACCAAATCTAGGAAAGAGCCACAGGTCTCTGGTGTATTTGTTTGGCCTGGTAACCAGCACTAAGTGCTATAGCAGATGCACTTAGTGGAATTCCCCCATCCACTAGCATTATGGGACACTCCCACTACTGTTCTGATAATTACTGTTAATCATTACTGTTACTGAAGTGACCAAAAAAAAAAAAAAAAAAAAAAAAAAAAAAAAAAGGCTGTGAGGATCAGGCCTTTATTGTGCTGGCTGTTGTCATGCAGAGGTGATGAGACAATCTGCCCTAGGGAGCCCATAAACACAGGTGCCCAAATCATTGCTGTAGTCATGTTTCAAACTAGGACACTGTGGCCCCCAATGAAGATCTCCTACAACTCCAGCAAAAATAATCCCTCCAGCTCACATCAGCTGGGAGCCAGGCTGGATATTATGCTCTCTGCCTGCGGGTAGATGCAGATAGAAGGGAAAGAAGCTGATCAGGAATACCTTGATGTAGCAACACCCAACAAGACATTTCCATTCGGTGTTTTCCCTCACTGGGCTCAACCTGCTATAAAATCCATATTCTTTGATCTCCAATGAATTCAATACCACCAACTCTTGAGAGTCCATGAGTCACATGGTATGTGGAAACCTCTGGGGTTTGGTTTGGGAATGACCAAGACTACGAGAAATCATCTAGTCACCCTCTCCTCCCATCAATGATCTGAACATCATCTCAGGTATCCAAGTCTCCCTGGACACCGTTCCTAGGTTACACACGGAAGAAACGGATTAGCCAACTGGGTACTGACTGGAAGCCACAGGGAAGGACTGTAGGCCTCTGTGGGGCTGAGAAGGGCAGGGAGAGCTCCTGCACAGGTGGAAACAATCTGCCTACAGTGCTGATTTTTTCTCTCATTTATGCAGGTCAGGCTGCTGTCAGCTACCAGGAAAGGAGACAGACCCCAGTTCTCTGGTCAGAGCTGGCTGTTTTCCAACCTATCTCAAGAGTGCAGCCTGGATTCCTCCCACACCAAAAAGCAAAATAAAAGTGCCTGCATGTTTCTCTGCTCTCTCAGCAAGGAGCTCTGGGTTTGCCCAAAGGCCAAGTGGAGGCGAAGGCCCCAGCCCCAGGGAACTTGTCTGTCTCTCCATCCATACGTACAGGGGGTGCTGGTTGTTTGAGGTGCAAGTAGGAGATAGGACAAGGCAGGAATCTGCCATGGGATGTCCTGGGGGGGAGTTGGCAGTGGCTGACTGTACCACTTCCCACATAACTCCTCGATGTGGTATCTACACATCCACCCCCTTGTCCTCGTTCCTGCAGCTTAGTGTTATTTAAGAGAGGCAGGAGTTTTCCTTTATGGCACCGGGAGCGCATGCGTGTAAATCAAGTGGGACAGGACAAAGGCCAGGGCTGGGCTCAATTAGAGCAGTGATGCTATTAAATTAGCAACAGCACTGAGCTATGGCTGGCAGTTCTTGATTGATTCTCCTGCAGGCAGGGTCTGTGTCCTTCAGAGAGGAAATGAAGGGCTAGGGAAGAAAGATGAATTGGCCAAGGCTGCCAACCACAAATTTGGTCTCTGAACCTCATTAAACTTCTGAACAACAATAGTTCCTCTAGAGGATTTTCAACAGACATCCCTGAGAACCCCTTTTTTGTGAGGCTGAACATCAGATGCTCAGGATGAGACACTTTTGGCCTCTGAGTTGCAGCGTGCCTACAGCCGAGGTCACCCCCTCAAGCATCACACACTCCCTTTCCAGCTCCACACCCAGATTAAGCTTCCCTGTCCAAACCTCCAAACCCATCACACAAGCAGCCTGACATCAGCCTGAAGCCCATTAAGCCAGCACAGGAGAAGATCTGTCTCAGGTGAAACATGCCAGACCTGAGATCCTGTCCAGAACACAGCTCTGCTCTTCTGTCTCCACCCTGCCTCCTCAACCCTTCCCCCTCGTTTTGTTCCCGTAACAGTCCCCTTTGTGAACCAGGAGAGAGATTTCCAGGAAGAGCTGCAGTACACAAAGCTCATTACCCATCTTTCCAAAGCAGCCACTTTAAAGGGCGCACAGGTTAACTAAACTAAACCGGAGGTCTCTCTGCAAGCCCTTTCCCAGCATCTTACACTGCATCTTATGCAACGTGCTGTGCATTGCTGAGCACGTTTAATTACAGCGCAGCAGCTTTGATGGCCGTGCCACACCATCGCAGCGCCCGCTGCGCTGCTCGTGTCAGAACTGCCTTTTACGCACATCTGAGTAACAGTGGAGCCTCTGGGCAACGGCCTTCGATTGTTTACATGGCTCCCATAAACAGGATATCACCCATTTGTAAATATCCTGTCAGAAGCCCCTCAGCTGCTGATGCATGCCTGTCTGCGGCGAGTCTGCCTCTCTCCTCTATGGCTTCACTGGTAACGTTGCACAACCCCTACTGACCACGCATTGCCTCTCGTGGTACATACCAGGACTTCTACCTCGTGGCTTCCACAAGTTGTTTGTAGAGCTGGTGCACTTGGAGAGCGCTTTCTGGGGAATTTTAAGTCAAAGGAATGATACATTACTGTTGGCATTATTTCCCACAGGCTTATGCTGTGTAGCTCTCACTCAGGTAGAGAAGGCCAGGAGTTACACTGGTGGAATGCTTGTTGCTACATTTCACTTCAAGACAGGGGTTCTTTTTCTTTCATATAAACAATCCATTCCAGCTAAACAAAGAAAGTGACACACAGACAAAAACCTAAATTTTCTTGTGAGTTTCTTCAGTGTTGCAAAACGGGGTTTTTTGATGGTCAATAATTAGATACCTGTCTGTAATCTGCAAATTTTCTGCAGTAAATCCAAATATAGCTTTCAAAAAGAAGTCATAACACCTAACTCTTTTGTTTTGGCAGGGCATCTCAGGACAGAATCTCCTAGCAGAGCTAGAGAGAAGCTCAAAGTTCCCTGTCAGTCAAATACTTTATTAAAAGCAAGGCACACCTCTCCTGGTTGGCTCATATTTCACAAACTGGGTAGCCAGCTCTGAGGGATGGAGGAATTGCTTTCATGCACAGGGAAGCCCCAGCTTGGAAGAAAACAGAAGAGCAATACTAAGAACTCTTGGTGTAGAAGCAGAAGCACCGAGTTTAGTCACCACTCATTCGCATGTGAACAACCCACTACTGGGAGTATGCTGATGCCAAGAAGTCTGACAGGACATCCCCAGCTACAAAAACAAGCACCTTGAAGAACTGTAACTCCAGGCTACAATCATGGTAGCATCAGGTCAGATGCCAGCAAAGCATTCAGCTACTTCCCCCTGACTTTGGCTAAAAGGACAAGACTTTTAATGCTATGTCACAAGCCAGAAAAAACTAGAACCAGTCTCATTTCAGTCTGATTCCCAGCATAACCTCAGTGGCGTTCCCAAAACCTTCCCAGAGGGACACCATTTTCTTCTCCTCTGTTCCTGTGAGTGGCACAGACTGCTCTGGTGACATCCCTACTGTCACCTGCAAATGTCAGGCCTGCATTACGCCCCTCTAACCCATCATTAGCACCACCGGGACAGCAACAGCTGCACCTGCAACAGACATTCACTGGAAAGGAAATCATCAGGAACTGGTTTTATTTAAAACAAGGGGCAAAGGAAGCAATGTCAAGTCCTGACCCCGCTTGTTCTAAGGTATATCACTGCATACTGCACTATGAACTCAGCTGGGATCCAGATTGCTTTGCAGATAGAGCAGGAGGAAGCTGTAACTTACACCCACTACAAGTGTACCTACAGCCAAGGAGCCAGATAACTAAATGCCCTTGGGGAGATATGAGAGGCATTTGAAGCATAAAGATTGCTTACCTTTCCCTCACCAGGTAGGCAGATAAACGCAAATGCCTCTGTTCAATAGTGCCTGACAGTCTGATGCAAGCCCTCAAAAGCAAAGAAAATTAAGGCTTAGAGTAAAACATGGTGCAAGGATGTGCATCCCCAGTGACAGAACACTCCCCATCATCTCCAAAATAAGCAGTTCCAGAGAAGTGCGCCAGTTGGCAGAGGTTGTGGGCCCAGCAAGTGTAGGAGAACACGGGCTGGCGCTTGTGTGCAGGACAGGGAGCCTGTGTGTTCCACAAGGGCATTCCCAGTTTCTCAGGTGCTGCGCCGTGCTCCGACTTTCA